ATTAAATTATTGATAATTTACTATTAAATTTAAAAATTACAGTATTATTTATTTTATATGGTACTAATAAGAAATAATAATAGACCTAAAATGAGAAGTTGATTATTATTTTTTATAAATAATAAAAGTAAAATAGAAAAAGGCTGCTATAGCTTGGACTTCTCCGACAATTTCCTTTTTTTTTTTTTTATGAAAAGATTTCCTTATTCCATTTTCCCAAGCTTTTGCAAATAATAAATCTCTATTTTCTATTTTGCAATCTTGTCAAATGCTCGGTCGAATTCCTTTCCTTTCATGGCTTCTATTTAGGGCATTTTTTGGTTCAAAGGATAAATTGAAATTTTTATTTATTAGAGACTATCAGCAGACAATTAGAAAAAATTTTTAACTTTTGGACTAACCTAATATGTATAGTGCCACGTTCAGTTGGTTACATCATTATTTTACCCCACAGACTCCTCACATTCTACTTATAAATAAAGTCATCTAAGGACTATCTATTCATCTGATATTCTTTTCTACTTTCCTATTTTTCTCTTTTTTCGATCTCCTTTATTCCTATCTTTAAGTCGAGCATTAGAACGCAAACACAAGAAACATCTCTTGTCTTTAGAGGTGATAACGGTTTGATTCGAATCAAATTCAATTTGGTTTAATTCTTTCAAATATTGTATAATATTATAAAAATTTAAAATCTGATTTAAATTCAAATCGAACTTTCATTTAATTCGAACCGAATTGAACTGAATTTTATCGGTTCAGTTCGATTTATTAATTTTTATATATTATTTTAATATAAAATTTTAATATATTTAAGTAGATTTTGATATAAAATTATTATTTTTATTTTATAAAAATTTAAAATATATATAAAAACTAAGAAATATATATAATTTGATTCAGTTCGATTTTTTTCGATTTTTCACCTCTCGATCTAAAATTTAATTCAAACTTAATATATACATTTAATATTTGAATTTGATCCGAACCGAACCAAATAAAAAAAATTGATTTAAATTGAACTGAATACTACGATTTCGAATTATTTTTTATTTTTTTCAATTTTTTTCTCACCCCTACCTATCTTTACTCTTAACCATTCTCTTTCTCTTGTATAATTTCAAGGTTTTCACTCTCGCTTCGGAACTCAGCACAAATAGTTTCCTTTGACAAGCTTCTTCCTCTTTGCTCGTCCCTCAACGTCTCTTTCTTTATCTATTTTTATTTTGCATTTATAAAACTAATAATGATGATAATCTTACTTTACATGTTTCTTTGTTGCAGAGAAGGGGCTTTTCTTCTTCTGGAATTCACGGAGATGCAGGTCTTTTATTCTTTTTATGGTTTACATTTTTTATTTGTTATTGTTTTAAATATGTAAATTTGGATTCTTAAGTCTTAACACCTATGTGATTTTTGTCTGTTTGTTTTTAAATATGTATAATTAATTTATTAATAATTTCTTATAAAGTTATTATTATAATTTATTGATATTTGAATTAATTATTACAAACCTTGAATGCTGCTTCAAACTAAAGCATGTATGAAATAAAATGATCTGCTAATTAATTAATTAATTATGTTCATTTGCCAATTATATATTATCTTGCGTTTACAATCAAATTGACATGTGAGCCAAGCACTCTGATAAGTCACTTTTAAAATTTAACATTGGAAATAAATATAATACTCTTAATTTAACAGATCAAATAATTTCTTTTCAATTTGATGGTACTAATTTAATTTGTTGTGAACGCATAGTATAATAAAAGTAGAAGTTCCGAATGAAGGAGTTACAGAATTGAGTAGTGTTTTTTTTTTATTATTATTATTATTATTATTATTATTTTAGAGGCGAATGAAAACTATAAGGGTCGAATTTTGCACCATAAAATTATATTTTTAATTAGTTAATATTATAAATGATTTCTGAATTATAGTAAAATATTTAATATGATAATTCAATTTTAAAAATTTATAATATGATATTTGAATTATAAATTTATTAATCAATATGACATTTAGATGGATTTAAAATTTCTTGGGGGCAAATATTTTAACTTAATTTATCAAAATTTTTTATTGAAATACAAATTAATATAAAAACTTTCAAACATTGCAAACATAGATAAATGCATTTAAATATATATATATATTAAATTTAATAAAATTTTACGTACTTATAGAATTTTTAAAGATATATGTAACATATAAAAGAATAAAAATTAACATGTCCAGTTTTATTATCTACTTTCATTTCTTAATCATTATAAGTAGAGAATAACAAATACTTTCCTTATATATAATGAAAACAATATTTTTTTTAATATACAATGAAAAAAAGGAAGGCATGTTTGTTAAAGTTTTTTTTTTTTTTTTTTATTAATTCACACTTTATATGTTATCTATATGAACTTTAAAAGTTCTTTATTTATTTTCCTACAAAATTAGTATATATTGTAATGAAACTACTTACCACCCAAAATATAGATGTTCAGTTACTTTTTTTTAAAATAAAATGTTCAATTACTAGATAAACAATAAAAAATTTTCTTTTATGAGCCTCAATTTAATGGGGGTAAAAATGATAAAAAAAAATTTAGTGGGGGCAAAGCTTAAGTTTTCTAAAATTTATGAGATTTTTTATAATTAACTTAAAAAATTTTAAGATCTTAGTGGGGGCCACTGGCCCACATAGATTCATCTTAGTTACTTTTACATGATAAATTTCAAATGATAATATATGACACATAAACCATTATTAAAATATTATATTAGTTAATAAATTTATAAATATAATATTAAAAATTTTTAATGTTTAAAATTGAATATTTTATTAAAATTTAAAAACCATTCGTAATATTATCCCAATTTTAATTAATTAATTTTAACTTGCAAGATAAAAAATTTGTCCAAATTCGGATTACAATGTCGATCGACAGTTGTTATTGATGATTATAAACTTCGCACTTTTGATCGGCATATCTTTTTGCTGATCGGTAGTCCTTGCTTGGTGAGCAAGAAAATTTTTAGGACGAATGTTGATTTTTAATACTAGATTCTTTGTTCACATAATCAATTATTCACACAATTTGTCATGATTTTGCTTTGTGTTAGAAGTTCTTTTTCATCCTATCAGCAGCCTCTATTCTTTTGCCTACAGCCAGCTGCACCCTTACAAAGATTCTTCAACCACTCTTTGCCTCTCAAAATCCTTGCTTTTCTTCACCATATCAGCCTCCCCCAATCAATCGGCAATCATAACTATTTGTCCACTGGCAATCTGCTCCACCTCTCAGCCCTGTTTTCATCACTTTTCTGATCAATTCCCATCTTTTTTCAATCATACACATTAAACTCGGATGGTATTATTTGGTTTTTCGTCGGAAAAGAAAAAGAAAAAGAACAAAAAGTTGTCAAATCATATTTTTATACCAAGCAAAGCAAATCTTAGCCATTAACTAACAAAAATTGAGATTTATGAAACACAATTATATAAATCAAGGTAAGATTATAGTGGTTGCATCGTGTTCGTGTCCAAAACCATACTTATTTCTACTACATAAGTATAGCCATAAATTGTCCTGCTTGAACGAAATGGGTGGAACAAAGTACAGATAGGAGAGGATGACCCAAATTGCTAAATTCTGAAACAGTTCTTTTGTTACTTCGTTACCTGCCACCGGCTTATTACGAACGGGGACTGTTGATGATAATTATCCTTTGCCATTGCCATGGAAAACACTTTCGTGGCTTTGATTTTGGTAAGTGGAGATAACATAGGGAATAAATAGGACCGCAAAAGCTAGCAACCATGTGAAATGCATGGTTTCAACGGATCCATTTGGTTCTATTCCCACACCTATATATGACTTATTTGACATTAATAATGTTAGAACAAGGTTCACGTACGAGTAAAAAATTTGAATGAAATATCTCATATATACACGTAGGATTCCAAAACCTAATAATTTAAAATTTTGGGCTCAAGTAATGTATAATATTATATATGGGCTTTTTGGTGGACTTCAAATGTGACATATATTCCTAACAACTAGTATTAGAGTCGGAAGATTTGACTTAGTGAGTATATCATATATGCAGAAACGAAACATCCAAATGAATGATGTATTGAGTCAATCTAGAATACAAACTTGAGGGGCACTAAGACAACTTAGGCATTAAGGTTAAATGTTGTGATCGGACCTAAAAGCACACTAAAGATCTAAGGTTGCCTGGCTCAAAAGAAGTATTGATAGAACTTACTTACACGATAAAATCAAGATAGGATTGATCAAAACTCACAAGTATTGGGATAAGATTTATATATAAGTAAATAATCTCACATTACCAAAAACTCTAAATGAGATATCATATATATACATAAATGATTCAAAAACCAATAACATAAGTTTTTAAGCTTAAGTAATATTTAATATATATGTATGAACTCTTTGATATACTCCCATGACCTTCAAGTGTGATATAATTTTCCAACAAATAATGGGTGTCCTCTCTTTGCTTTGATATCTTCCCTTTTTATTATGACGTAAGAGTTATCGATTTTCTTCATAGGGTCCATTGCTCCTGCGGGTTCCAACTGTGATATATTTCCCCAACAAATAAAGGGCATCCTCTAGTAGCTTTGGTATCTTCCCTTTTTATTATGACGTAAGAGTTATCGATTTTCTTCATAGGGTTCATTTTATAAAATTCAGAAGGTGTCGAGTGGCCGACAGGTGAAACTGAGGGTAGAAATTCATGGACAGTACTTTGTGGCTCCTTTGATTGAAATATATCGTGTTCTTTTAAACTTCAAGGGCCCATTGAAGAGTATTAAAAGCTAGCAGACTGTCCCAATTTTGTTCATTGCCTTACTCAACTAGCACAAATTTGCAATAGCTTTCAATCATAGAAGACATTCATTATGTTGTTCTAGTGTGGTGTGGTTCAAGCTTGGTTTTTCTGCCTGAGATTCTTGCTCTACCACCACCTCTGCATCCCCTTCTTCATTTAGCACTTATGGATTTGAATTACATAAACCAATCCTTTAGAAAGAAGAGGTCAAATCGAACAAAAGGGTTATTAATGCAAGCCAATGGGAAAGCCTATAGGCACCCAACTTATCGTGGTGTCAGGATGCGAAGCTGGGGAAAATGGGTGTCTGAAATACGCGAGCCAGGGAAGAAATCAAGAATTTGGCTTGGAACATTCCCTACAGCAGAAATGGCAGCTCGAGCCCATGATGTAGCATCGATAGCAATAAAAGGTCAGTCGGCTTACCTGAATTTTCCTGAGTCAGCTCATCAACTTCCTCGTCCAGCTTCTTCTTCCCGTAGGGACATTCAAGAAGCTGCTAATAAGGCAGCCTATTCCATGATTGATCAACAAGAAAGCACTGAAGTCAAGACGGAGCCATGTCAGGATGAGATGCCAGTTCCTCAATCCCCAAGTTCCCCCACACTGTCATCCGAAACTCAGGGGTCCCCATCTTCTCAGTCCATGGATACTGAAAATATGTGGGTAGACCTTCCTGATCTCTCCCTGGAAGCAAATGCAAGTCATCGATTCGGTGACACTTCCTGGTGGCAACAAGCTGCAGGAATTGACCCTGAATTCCAATTTGAGGAAACAATGCGCTGGGATAAATAGGCGATAGAGAGAATCGATTCGGGCTTGAAGTTGTTATCTCTAGCCCGTGGTTTGTTTCAAGAATGGGGGCTATGGATATCTTCCTTGACAAAATTTACCAGTATAAAGACCTTAATCTATACCCCAGAAACATATATACGTGTATTAATTCCTTGTATTAATGGAATATAGAATGTAATCTGAAGATTTCCTTTTGGTTAGGGTCTAATGGCTTCCATTGCATCTGGCTCTAGATTTTATACCCTCATTCGTAGATTTGATTATGCTATGAAACTTCCAAAAAAAGTTGGGAGAATATCTTTTTACTGCAACAAAAAGTTCTCTATTGGGCAGAAGCTGTTATTGAAAATGCGATTACTCTAAACATAGGGCACTCACACTAATTAATACTAGTATTTTCCAAGTCCATTTGAAAGTATGCTGATGATAATTGAAACAATATATGAAATAAAATAGCAATAGCTATCAGAGCTAAAGCAATATGTCAGAAACATGTTAGACTTCTATGTTTTCCTAATTGCTTCTAATTGGCTAAAATAATTTCACTTATTGAGAATCTTCATTTCTTTATGCTATTTCATAAAGACAAGAGTACTCAAATGTCAAATCCTGCTTTTATGTAAAGATGGAACAAGCGATTACTGCCAGAGAGACTAACCAACCGCACAGGAGACTTTTCCGTCTCCATCTCCGTTTACTTTTTACATCAATTATTTAGCAACCTTTAAACAGCCCAGGACCTTGGTGGCTGAAAGGACCGCAAATCCTCCATCTTTTGACTACTGAATACCACAATAAATGCAAACAAGTTTCAGATATGACAGCAAATTTGTCACTATGATTCTTTGATTGGAAAATTTATAGCTGGGATTATAAAGCTAGGGTTTGCTAGAATTAGTTCTTTCCTCTCTCTATTCTATAGTTTTGCAGCAAACAGTAAAACTACATGATATTGACTTATAAGGGCTCTTTCAATGATTGAGAATAACCCTAATATCAGTGATGGCAAACCCAGCAGGCTAAAAAAATTTGCACTTTATTATATTCTTCCGAAGTGTTGGTGAATTAAGGGCAAGAGTTTAGCTCACAAAAGAGTAAGATGAGGCATGCCAGAAGTGTCTGAAGTCTGAATATGAGATTATATATGCAATAATTGCATCTTTGAACCTCAAAAGTCATAGTTAAAGATGGTAAAAGAGAATGCGATGCATGTGCTTGTGTTTACAGGGAGAGGCAAAGAGAGATGCTGCTAATTAAGGAATAAGGATGCCTCTCAAGTTGGTCAGACAAGTGCATCAAATTCTTTAATTTCATCATTTGTAGAGACATACACTTGTATGCTTTTGATGCATTTGATTCTTTTTTGTTTCTTTTTTTCTTTTTATTTTTTGTTCATTTTTCTTGTTTCTTTTGTAATCCCCACACCTTTTGTGTTTTAGTTCCTTGAGAAAAAAAAATGAAATCATCATAATTGGAGAAAACACTTACCTACTCTCATAGTCTTAGTCTTATTTACATACATTTTGTAACAATCCTAGTGCAAATGATAATTGGTCGAAACTAATATCAAAATCCATTAGTTTATTAAGAGATTAATTAGTAAAAGAGAAAGTGATTGAGAAAATCTAGCCATCTTTGTTTATCATAGAACAGAAAAGAAAATGTGTATGCTTTTTCCTAATTTTATTTAAGGTTAGAGAGTATGAAAAATCAAGTTGTAAATTTAAAATAAGAGACTATAATCGAGTTAATCTCCTAAAGGTGAGTATATGTCATCTTTTTATTTAGATACCATGTTGATTGCTATTATTTGAAGTTGAAATTTTAAGAGAAAAATTCTGAAATCTTTCATTAATCTTCATAATCTATTTGGATAAATTATTGAGCTTTATTTACTTCCTATTATTAAGATTTAATGATGATTATTGAATGAATTTTATAGGTTGAAAATGGCGATTTAAGCTTTTAAAGATTGAAGAAAAAATTTTATTTTTGGATCAGATGTTATGATTTACAATAGTGACTTAAAATAAAATTCTAGGTTAATGAATAGATTATGACTATAAGCATTATATATTGTTGGAAAGCATGTTAAATCTACTTTTCAACAAAATAAACAGATATCGAATTTGAGTTTTTTATGAAGAGTTATCTAATTTTTACTTAAGAATATGTAGGCTATATGGTAGCAACATCAGGGTTAAATTTTGAAAATTTTCTTAAATTTTATATAAGGAATTAAGAATTGATCCATATATATTTGAAAATTTTATGGAGTCTACTTTCCAACGAAACAAGCAAAATTGAATTTGGAGTCTTCTATGAATAAATATGTAATTTTTAATAGAAGATACACATGCTATCTAGCAGTAACATATGACATGAATTGTAAAATTTATTATAATTAATCTTCAAAGAATTAAAAGGTGGGTCATATATGGTTAAAAGGCTTATCAAGTCTAGTTTCTAACGTATTAAAAAGATCTTAATTTTGAGTTGTATATCTTGAGATATGATAATTTTAGTGAAAATAGATGAAAGCTGCCAGAATTAGTTAATTGAGTTAATTCTTGAATAACTTAGTTGTTTTTAATATAAATGGTCTAAAAAGGGGTTGACTAATTTCTGATGCATTGAAATAATTTTGAATAGACAATTAATTATTTGGGAAAAAAAACTAAATGGTAGAATCGAAAAGAGGTAAGTAAAATCTCATACACTTTACTTATTTTTGAACATATATATGTATGTTTCTAAATGAGTAAATATTTTATTTTTTTTATTTTTGATATATTAAAATAGGATCAAGTGTATAATTATTTTGATATTTGGTTATGTAAATGATAGATCATACTTATAAATGAAATGAGAAAAAAGATTTAAGCTTAAATACTAATTTTATAATAGCTACGATTTTGCATTCTTAAGAAGTGAGATTATTGACACCAGAACTAATTTTATGATCCTGACTAACGGATTATAATAGTTTGCATAACCATAATTATATAGCCTTACTAACGGGTTATAGTAGTTAGCGTAAGACTCTAACGAGCAAATTGTAATAATTAGTAATGATCATGAGTATGAAATTATCGATACGACCAATGTCACAGGTTATAATAGTGACTATAGCTAACAATAAATGAATGATAATGATGATTTATAACAATTTTTTAAAAAATTGATCCAGATTTAGTTTGATTACGATATTTCAATGGTATCATATTTTGTAATAATTTATGAATTGATATGTTTTGATATTGATTTATGATCTAGAAAATATTTGACATAATGATAATTTTTGAAATACTTTGACGTTATGATTTGACGAATGTTTTGAATGATCTATATGTATATATGAAAATGATACTTTATCCGATAAGATGTGTGAGTTTATACTTGCTAAGTTATGATTTGCTCATTTTCTTTTTACTTTTTCTTTACAGATGATTAAAATGGTAAGTTTGCTTAGTCTTGAGACAAGCTAAATGATCAAATTGAAAATATTACTTGGGCATGAAAGACATTATTAGCTAATGAAATCTTACAAAATAGTTTTACATTTTTATTAGTTTACATATGGATATATAGAGATTTATTATTAGTTGGATTAAAGTTATAGATTTTCTTAAATAGATTATTTTGTTGAAGAATTTTAGAATAATTAAAAAAAAAGACTTTGTATTACTTTAAGGTTTTACATCAAGATAATATGGACCATATTGTGTTTTAATTTTGAGGTGTAACACATTTACTTCTTATAAATTAATTTTTCATTTGAAAAGTTAAAAAAATTGGTTTTACTTTTTTAAGTACAATTACCCATTTTCTTCTTTGTTTTCAAGTCAATCTTAAATGAAAATTTAAATGCAATTTTAAATTTATATATGAAGTCATAATCAAAAACAATATATTAGAGAAAGGAATACTATATATGCATTAGCATTACATTATTTACGTTGACTTAATAACAAATTTATATATTATTACACAAATATAATTAAACTTATGAATATAACTATAACGTTTGAATATTCTTGAACTTTTTTGTTTGACAATTATAATTCATTGACAAATGAAAGATAAAATCAATTAATATGAACATAATAATTTTGAAATTAAAAATATAATTAATAATTAAAATTTTACAAATAATTGAACACTTAACTCTTACTTCATTTGTTCTCGCACCACCGCGTCATGCAAGTGGTTTTACAGGAAAGCAACTCCTCTTGCAATTAAGAAAGAGAGAGAGGACACAAAATGGGCGGACAAGAACCCTAAATGCAGCAACCGTCCAATCTCCAATATCAAGTCAATTCATAGGACTTATATTGGTCCTTCGGTTAAAACCAAAAGAAACTCCAATGTTCTGACCAGACATGGTCCCAACTCCAATTAATTCCCAAGTACATCCTCTCCTCTGAGGAGCCAATGCATGCAAAAAAAAAAAAAAACTCTGCATTTAAAGTTAGGGCCAGTAAATTAAGGAGCTGAGGTCACTCATGCCTCATGCCCATGTCAATGAAAACCCTAGGCAAAAGCTGGTAAAAAATGGGGGTTAGAAAACCTTCAAGAATTGAGCAAGTACTAATGTCTCATGCTGACGTAGAACATCTATAATTATATATATATATATATGTGTGTGTGTGCGCGCGCGCAAAGTGATATATTATATCGTTGTTTAGGTCAAATCCGAAAGGATGAAGGTTGGGCTTACTGAAAAGCTTTCGATCGGAGAGTAAGAATTGCAAAAATAAGATGATTTTCTCTTTGATGGTTAAGTCAATATGAAATATGAGAAGAGGAAGGGGTGGTCTGGCAGAGAGAAAAATATACGAGCTAGAGAGTGAGTGACATATGAAGAGCACGTTACTCAGTGACAGAGCCGGTGAAAAATTAAAAAAAAAATTTCTCTGAACACCTTTAAAGATGAAAAAAAATTGATTTCCCTAAATACGATAAAATTGATAAATCTATTAATAATTATATATATTATAAGTAGACATTTTCGAAAAAAATCTTGAATTTGCCACTAACGTCATTTTTACCAAAGTTCTCTTCCACTGTAATTTTCATGGATTTATGTTTTCTTGATGAAACTACTAAACAATGGATCATTATTTGAATTTATATATGATGAATTAACAGTGTATAGTATAAATGTATTGATAATGCATTAAAGATAAATTTTTATTATTTTATATAAAATATTGACAATTTGGTTTCTAATTTTTTTAAATTTTTATGTGAAATATATATATAATTTGTGAGATATGTGATAAACTCATTAAAAGAAGTTACGAATTATATTAAAATTTGCAGTGAAGAAAAAATCCTTATGGTAATTTTGTATTCTATGATGAAAAAATCCTAATAATAATATTCTTATACTATATCCAAAATATAATCAAGTCACCCTCTCTCTCTCGATTAAAGGACAAAAAAAAAAAAAAAACTCACAAACATAATGATATACACTTTCAAATAAGATTCATGAATCTATATGAAAATATATTATTATTTAAATATAATATATAATTTTAATAACACATTGATAAATTATAAAATTAAAATAACTATTATATTTTAGTTTGTTAGACTTGCCAAATATATTTTATGTTTTCAGTTTTTGAAATCTAGTAACAACATAATTTAACCAAATATGTTTTTTATTTTCAAAATTTTAAAACAAAATAAAAATAAAAATTTTAAAAACAAAAATATAAAATATAAAACTGGCACCGATCCCTCAAATTTATTTAATTTTTTTAGGCTAAAATATATTGGGCTTTTACGTGTAAAAATCAAGGAATGGAGAAACAGCACATCTTACATACTTTATTGGGCCCAAAGCTATGGTCCAATCAGGGTCGGGCTCGGGCTGCACCAATTAAATTAGACGAACATAGCTAGAATCCGACACCACTCTGATTGGTCGAAAACCAGATTAAAGATCCGAACCCAACAAAAGAGACATTGCGAGCAAGCCCTAATTCCGTATCATCGAGTAGTAACTCGAGCTCGGAGTTTAACTTTCCGCGAAAACATCTCCAGAACTTTCTCTGTTGAACTCAAACCCTACCTCTCTCAGCTCTCTGCTCGGTTTCCAATGGATTCTGTCGAAACGAACCTCAATGATCCCCGTTCCTTTTCTGCGCAAACCCTAAATTTATGCAACCAAAACCCTCCTCCGCCTCCCGAAACCCTATCCTTCGATTACCCGCCTCCGCCACCGCCCTCGCAAACCATTGACTCCGATCCTTACCTAGGATACGCCCCCGACGATGGCTACATCAATAACAACGGTATCCAGGTTAATCATGATGCTAATTCCAATACTATTAACAACAATTCTTCATCTAAGCCCGAGATCCAGAAGCCTTTGCTCTCGGAAAATGGGTTAACTAACACTCATAGCGGCACCACTGACAGGGATTATTCTGGCGGAGAAGAGGAAACCACCAGCCGAAGGCGAAGGAGGAGCCGCTGGGATCCGCCGTCCGATTCAAACAACAATCAGAGCGGGAATGATGAGACGGGCAGCGGAACCAAGAAGAGGAAGTCCCGGTGGGCAGATGATGAACCTAAGCAGGTGATTCAGCTCCCTGATTTCATGAAAGATTTCACTGGAGGTATCCAATTTGACCCTGAGATTCAAGCCTTGAATAGTAGATTGCTAGAGATTAGTAGAATGTTGCAATCTGGATTGCCTTTGGATGATAGGCCTGAGGGTGCTAGGTGTCCTTCGCCTGAACCTATTTATGATAATATGGGAATTAGGATTAATACCAGGGAATATAGGGCAAGAGAGAGACTGACCAAAGAGAGGCAAGAAATTATATCTCAGATTCTTAAGAAGAATCCAGCATTTAAACCTCCAGCAGACTATAGGCCACCAAAGCTTCAGAAGAAGCTTTATATACCGATGAAAGAATACCCAGGATACAATTTTATTGGGTTGATTATTGGGCCAAGAGGGAATACCCAGAAGAGGATGGAGAAGGATACGGGTGCAAAGATTGTTATTAGGGGAAAAGGTTCAGTGAAGGAAGGTAGGTTGCAGCAGAAGAGGGATTTGAAGCCTGATTATTCTGAGAATGAGGACTTGCATGTTTTAGTTGAGGCAGAAACACAAGAATCACTTGATGCTGCCGCAGCGATGGTAGAAAAGCTCTTGCAGCCTGTTGATGAAGTATTGAATGAGCATAAGAGGCAACAGTTGAGGGAACTTGCTTCCTTGAATGGAACGATAAGAGATGAAGAGTATTGTAGGTTGTGTGGTGAGCCGGGGCACCGCCAGTATGCGTGCCCTTCCCGCACTTCAACTTTTAAGAGTGATGTTTCATGTAAGATTTGTGGTGATGGTGGGCATCCAACAATTGATTGTCCAATGAAGGGAACAACAGGGAAGAAAATGGATGATGAATATCAGAATTTCTTGGCTGAGTTAGGAGGTACTGTTCCCGATTCTGCAAGCAAGCAAAACTCTTTATCCATCAGTGCTGGAAGCAATCCACCTTGGGCTAGCAACAGTGGAAGTGCTGGAAGTGCACACCCTGGCTTAGGGTCCAATGCTGTTAAGCCCCCCAAGGAATATGATGATACTAATTTGTACATTGGATACTTGCCTCCGAATCTTGATGATGATGGTTTGATCAGTTTGTTTTCATCTTATGGTGATATTGTGATGGCAAAGGTAATTAAGGAACGGGCTACTGGACTGAGTAAGGGGTATGGTTTTGTGAAGTATGCCAATGTTGACATGGCGAATAATGCTATTAAAGGAATGAATGGTTATCGACTAGAGGGAAGAACCATTGCTGTGAGAGTTGCGGGCAAGCCACCACAACCCACTGTACCTCCTGGTCCTCGAGCTTCAACAATGCCCACTTACCCTGTTTCTAGTCAGCCAGTTGGTGCCTATCCATCACAGCAATTTACAACTGGAGGTCCTCTTCCTACTGCCGCTCCTCCTAGTTATGCAGGGAATCCAGCTCCATGGGGACCACCAGTTCCTCCTTCTTATTCTCCTTATGCTCCTCCTCCTCCTCCTGGATCAACCATGTATCCTTCTGTTCCAGGTCAGCCTATGCCTCCTTATGGCTTGCAATACCCCCCACAAATGCACACTGCTCCCCCTGGTGTACCACCTCCACCTGTGACTTCTAGTGAAATGCCACAATGTTTCCCACCTGGAGTGCAACCTGAAAACAGCATCTCGGCCCCTGCTGTTCCTACAAATATCTATGGGAACTCAATGAATGCAGTGCTCCCTAATTCTCAAACTGCATATGAAGCATCTTCATTAGGTTATTCTTCTTATTACAATGTAGTTCCTCCCCCTCCCCCTCCCCCTCCTCCAGCACCTACATCTTCGACGGACTATTCCCAGAACATTAGTAATGTGCCTTGGGCACCAAATCCTCCTTTGCCACCCACAGTCTCATCTGCTGAGAAAACAACCTATGGTGCAGATGCTGAGTATGAGAAGCTTATGTCAGAGATGAAGTGATCCAGATATACTCAGATTGATAGTTATATGCTCTGAGGTAATGTGTTAAACCTGTTTGCTTCTTCTATAGCCATGTGTTATCTTCTAATTTTTTATTTCATTTTTGATAAACCACCACTTAACCATCTGTGGATCCCTATCAGTGCTACATATGGTTCTGGTCACGACCATATACGACTGGGTTATATTTTTACCTGTAGCAATATATTTTAAGTTGCTGCCTGTTGTGAGATTTTGGTTACTATTAGAAAAGTTAAGGCCATTTCTAATCTTGTTTTTCTTGTTTTTATGTGAAAGCGATACAAATGCACGTATATCTTATGTAGGATCAATAGCATGAAAGCGGTAGAAGTTCAAGTTATGATCAAGAGTAATTTTCTTTGTTTTATATTGTTTGTATTAAAGAATAAACTGATCTAAAAGAAGGAATTCTATTGGTACATGATCAGATTTAATAATAGGAGTTTTCTACTGGATTGTTTCTCAACTTTAAATCTTGCACCATTTAACTTTGCTTTTTTGCCATCTTTACCATTTTATCTTGGTAATCACACGTGACTTTTTCTATATTTGAAAAGGAAAGAAGTGTTCAAGCCAGTATGTTGGACTTCTTACTGAGTATGAAAGGGTTTCAAGTGTTTATATTTGTTTAATGCTTCATTTTGCCATTAAAAAATGTGATATAATCCCACAAATATGACACCATCTTTTTCATGATTAAGATTATATCTTAACAATATCGTGCAGTTATGGATTTGGTGATGCTTGGATAGCAGGGTATCCACATACTTTCCAATAAGAAAATGCATTATGTTTTGGGTTTCTCGTATGAATGCTACCGACTTTGTCTTCCAAGTTTGCTATTATTTTATGTTTACATTTGTTAACCCTTTTCCTTGTTATTATTGTATAATTTTACAGGACTGATGTTTCTTGGAGCTCTTGTGAACCTGATTTCTTACCTCTTGTCATGACTTTTTTCGAAGTTTGGGACTCACATCTTTAACCTTGCTGCACTGTTATGAAATTTGCAGAGACTTGGATAAAATTCAGTTCATGAAGTTGTATTCGGGAAAGGCAGTTGAAATTTTATTAATATTAAAATTCAGTGCACCTGTGGGACTTGGTTTTATTCTATATGAATTCTTATTGGCTTCTGTTTTATGTCTTATTGCTAATGTTCTACTATGGCTTCTTTTGTGAAGCTTTTTTAAACAACTGATTCCTGACAATTTTTGTTATTACATTTTACTTCTCTAGGTGATTGTTTAATGGCATTGTTGATTAGCCTAGCATAATATTCTATTTCCTGGTTATAATGCCCTTTTATTTGCCAAGTTGCCATCCCTAGAAGCTTCCCTGACATTCGTTTCTTGACCCAATTGTTGAAGGTAATTCCTTTAATATGAAGGCCAATGGGGTATGAGGATTCTCTCTCAATTTTATATATATGTTTGAATGTTTTCTTTGATTCGCCGTGTCTTACTGATACACTGACATATGTTCTCACATTTGGCAGGTGAAACAAGCCATACATGTCTTTGTGTCCGCTGGGTTTTTAATATTGTTTTTCTGGTGAACTGAGAAGATAGCTCCCATGATTGCAGTTATTATGGAAATGAATGTGAGGTGTTTGATTCATTAGTCGAGGTTATATGTGGCTCAACTTAAAGTTGATAGAATAGTTGTAAATTTAGATAATAGTTTGGTTTAGGCCATGAGAAAGAGTATACATTTGAGTATGGCGAGTATTCGCTTAATTATGCATAACTAAGCTGGTTAGAAAAAAGCAATTATTAGAGCTATTGATACTTCTTTAATAGGATTTGGTTGTTCTACTTGCCTGCTTAGTTAGAAATTGTACACTCTCAATGGCTATTAGGGCCTTAGACGAAGGAAATTGATGTTTGGAATCTGTATAACTTAGTTTGATACTTCGTAAAGAACTGACATGGTGATTATAAAGCATTGTTGAACTAAGGAGTTGGTTACCAATTCTATGATCCACTATATAGGTAATCTTAGTATGTTTATCTAGACCTTTGATCCTGGAAACCAATCTTCTTGATTTATGACTTGTTTGTCAGGGTTGCTTTGAGTCAATAGGATTATAAATGGTACAAATTTGTACTGTCATTTTATATATCATCTATATAGACTATTAGATGGCAGAATTCATTTTATATTCTTTTTGTTACCCTTATGCAAGTTTTAGTTTTAACTCTTTTTGAACTTTATAGAATCTCCATGGCAACTATTGTTCATATATATAATCATGCCAATTATTGTGCTATACGGATATGATTTAAACTGTGTTTGGTGCAAACTAACCCAAGGGCCAGTGTTGCTTTTAAATCATGCGTTGTCTTGGAATAAAACAGTTATATGTACTTGCTGCAGTTTTGTTCTACTGAGAAAGATTATTGCTCAGCTCCTATCCCAGCGTTTAATAATTTAAATTTTGTTGCTGATGCTTTATTGCTCTCTCTCTCTCTCTCTCTCTCTCTCTCTCTCTCTCTCTCTTATATTTGTCTAAAATTTTTCAAATGGGAGTCTGGTTTATAAGGATGAATTTTGATGTCATGTTTATGAAAAGATGAAAATTATTGAGCAGGTAGCTGACATTTCCAGGTTTTATTGTAAATTTCAGAACATCACATGCGGGTGTGTTTTTGTATTCTGTTCCTAAACTGATTGACCACTTATTTGGTTTTCTTCTTATGACTGTTTTTGGCATTTGTAAGGCTAGTGGTACTTGTAAACAAAGACTAATCCTCATATTTTTGCCAAATCTTTATCTAATGATGACACCACCAAACCATGGCATTCCCTGGTAATGGATTTCTCATTCCATAATCCAAGGAATAGCTGGTAGGTTAAATGCTAAGGCAGACTCATACAGGAAATAGCTTTCCTTTTTCGTAATTTTCTTTTCAACTCTGACCTTTGTTTTGAGATGGTAAAGATGTTTTGCAAGGTATGTGTTGCTGTGATAAGCTGTTGTGGACTCCAATCACAGATTTTTGGTGCATCGGCCACTAGCCTTTTAGAATGGCCCTTGTTCCCATTTTGTGAACGAAGGAAGAATCATGAAAAGACATTTTTCATTAGGAGAGGGTGGGTGTTTGGGGATTTTTTTAGCTCAAAAGCATAACACAATCTTTTGCTGCTTAGGTGGGCTATTAAATCGTAACTTTGTTCAATCGTCAAAGTTACAGCTTGTATGTGACATTTTATTCACTAATTATTATTAGGTTAGTGAGAATCCATTATTTCAATCATGAACCATTTTCATTTGTTTTCTGGGCAGAGTATCAAAACATTAACCTCTGTTTATTCTAGTGGTTTACCCTTAACGAATGTGGTTTAACATGTCATACTTGGCTAACGTAAATTTGGCAGGCCAGTAAGTTTGTGACGTGTCCCTACAGGTACCCTAAACTTCAAAAAGGTAGTAAAAGGTACATGGTCATACATAAGAGCGATGTGAAGTAAATTGTTGTGAAAGAATCTTATTTAGTATTAGCATCTTTGTAGCTTATGAAAAGATGCTAGCTGATATTCGGATTTCTATCCCATTTTACATAGCGGAACTGCTGTTTTCATTTTTTCCCACTTTGGTATGATGGATGATCGGATGTACGTAGTTTACAATTAATCCAAATCAGTGAGTGCTTAATGCATTTTTGTCAACCTTTCTACTCTATTATTTTCATTATCCATGCAATTTAAAACCAATAGAACTATAGTTATCTGTTTTTACATTCACTTTCTTTTCCACTTCCACCCTTCGTCCTTTGCTCCTTTTAATCTCGTTCCCAAATATGTTTGTATACTCATAAAAGCTTCCTAGTGGCTTTTATTATTATTATTACTATTAATTTTGTATTCGAGGTTATTAGAGATTAATTTTCAATTATTAAAATTAAAAGATCAATATGTTACTAACATATCTGATTTTTGGTCGAAGTTTTTGTTGACACGTACATTACATTGTTGCTTAGTCGCATGAGACTGAGGCAGATACCAATTTACCAAGAAACACTAAAATTCAGTGCATAGCAATTATCACGTGGTTAATTTTTTTTTTTTTTTTAAGGAATATGGGCTGAGAATGATGTTGTATGAAATTTCATCTTACATGTTTTCTTCAACTTTTTCAATAATTAGGTAGACGTACCATGACGTTAATTATATAGTGGCTACTAATATATAAAATGGAAAACGTAGGGACCAAAAATGAAGTTGGAGAGAAAAGACACCAAATATTTGGTGTAAAACGACAAATGTTTGAAGGGTGACATATTTCAAAATGGTTTCAACTTAATATGGTTTCACAAAATTTTTTAATCAATCTAAATCAAAAATTAAATTATAAATAAATAATATAATAGTATTTATATTAATATAAATATTTTTTTATGTTATTTGTATAGGTATTTTTATAAAATAATATTTTTATTTAAAATATTCTCACGAGATTAAGGGTATCTCAACTAAGCTTTTATTTATTTTTATATTTTTTTAATTGTGTTTCATATGAAAGGCAAAATGGGGTTGGCCCCATATCTTTTACCCCTCAGTACGATTTTTCGGCCCACTAGTACTCTTTTGGACCGGACCAGTCAAAGTGGTAAAATTATCAATTCTAACTGCCTGATGCCTTCCAAAACCCTAATGAGAGGCCGACTTGATATCATTATATCTCAAGTTTGCCAGCTCCTCAGCCGAATACGGAGACTGCAAGAGCTCAAGCAGCAGCCATGGGTACGCCATTTTCTTTAGCTTTTCCTATCTAGTAATCATGATTTAATAGCTGACTAGCTCTTATTTTCTTTATTGTTTTTCGTTAATGGGAGGATTTAAATCTGGTATCTGTTTATTTGTTTATGTAGAGTGATGGGTTTTTCTCTGCTTGATTGATTTTCCTTTATTTTATTAAATCTAGAAACTTATTGAAGGTTTGTTTCTGACTGATTATTAGTTTCTCATCTTTTTTTTAATATATTTTTATTACTATATTTGCCACATTCAAACATTAGATGCTAAGTGGTAGAAATAGGCTTTTGGTTGACTGAAGGTCTCTTAAAATGAAAAGGGTTATATTAGATTGCTTATATATATATATATATATATATATATATATATAGATCATTGTTTTGGCATTTTGGGTTCTGATTTGTGATGATTTTGTTTTTTCTGGGATTTTTGTGAAACTAGGGGCTTACAAGTACGTGTCAGAGATATGGAGGAAGAAGCAATCTGATGTGATGAGGTTCTTGCAGAGGGTCAGGTGCTGGGAGTACCGTCAACACCCTTCCATTGTGCGAGTTAACCACCCAACTCGCCCTGACAAGGCTCGTCGCTTGGGTTACAAAGCTAAGCAGGTAAACTGATTCATTGTTTCTTTGATATTGCCTTCTTCCTCTGCATTTTTATGAGGTTTGGTTTTTGACTTGTAATTTTTGGCTTATTATATCTGTTTTATCACATATTTTAGTTATATTATTATCCTTTGTTCTGAAAACTGCATAGCAGTAACGTTTTTAAAAACTTTCATTCTATTCACCAGAGTTAGTTCAATCCACTACTTGGTTAAGAATTGCTCCCATCCTGCTATGAACCCCACTCTGTATTTCCTGGCATTTCAATTTGGAATGATTATCCTGTTAAAAGTCACACGAGAAGGAATTCAACAAGAAATTGAAACTTCGGTAGGAAAGTTTTTATTTCTAGATATTTTAAAACCTGAACTTCATAGGGACCAGAGTTCTAGATTATACCTTTTCTTGGCTTAGTATTAAATTTTTTTTCTTTAAACAAGGCTTTAGTTCATTGTTGATGCATGCAGGGACAGTATTTTACTTTATTAGTTGTATTTACTTATTTTATGTATGAGCTTTTTCTGCTTCTGTATAAAACTGGGAAATCATGGTTCCAACTGATTATTATTTGATACCTCATTAGTCCTCTAATATCTTTTTCTCTACGAAAGTAAGTTGTCATGTTTGCCTTTATAAAATTTACTGTTGTAATTTGGCGTCATTCCTGCATTAAGGACATTTTATATCTGTTAATATTTTCTCTGCCTTTGTGTTGTGTCTGGTGCCTAAGTATGCCGTCATTCCTGCATTAAGGACATTTTATATCTGTTAATATTTTCTCTGCCTTTGTGTTGTGTCTGGTGCCTAAGTATGCTTTTTTTATTAGGGTTATGTTGTCTATCGTGTCCGTGTAAGGCGTGGTGGAAGGAAGAGACCAGTTCCTAAGGGTATTGTGTATGGGAAACCCACAAATCAGGGTGTCACCCAGCTGAAATTTCAGCGCAGCAAGCGATCAGTTGCAGAAGAACGAGCTGGTCGGAAGCTTGGTGGCCTTAGGGTTGTGAATTCATATTGGATCAATGAGGTGAGTTCTACCGCAAATCCCAATTTTTTTCACATGTTATTTATTCATTTAAAGAAGGATTTCATTGAGTAATAGTGTAAAGAATAAACACCAATCTTTGTAGGTTATATCTATTGTCATATGGAAATTGATGCCCAAATTTTTGGTAGGATTCCTTAGTTTAGTTTGGTGTTTAATGTTACCGAGTTTTTGTAATTGCAGGATTCAACTTACAAATACTTTGAGGTCATCTTGGTCGATCCTGCCCACAATGCCATCCGCAATGACCCAAGAATCAACTGGATCTGCAATCCAGTGCACAAGCACAGGGAACTCCGTGGACTCACCTCTGCTGGCAAGAAATACAGGGGTCTTCGAGGCAAGGGACACTTGCACCACAAGGCCCGACCTTCAAGAAGGGCTAACTGGAAGAGAAACAACACTCTCTCTCTTCGCCGCTACCGTTGATCCTGTGGACCATATTTGGTGGTTTTTTTCTGTCTTACCCTCATTTCTGTTGTGGGGTTGAGAATTTTGAGTCAGTTTGATTGTGTATGGACATCTCTAAATTGTGTATGCTGAGGCCATTGAGATTTGTGCTCGCGAAACAAGTGGGGGTTATTCCATCTCTTAGATAATGCCTGAAAATTTGTCTAATACTTTGTCATATTCTTAAATTTGTTTGCTTAAGTAGTTTTTGCTTCTGCCTTACAACTTTAGGCCACCATAAATTGAAAGTAAATCAATGGCTTTATTTAGTCAACGAACGAATAAAATTGGGATATCATAATTTAGAGGTTTAAATGATGCATTAGTATTTATAAGTTACTTTAGAGTAATTTGAATAAAATTTAAATTTAATTCGATTATTATTAAAATTAAATATAAGTAATTTAATTTATCGATTAAGTGTGAATATTTTTATATTTAATTTGAGTAATTTATAAGTTTAATCAAATTTTTATATTTTAATATATTTTTATTATATTAATTAATAAAATATTTTAAACTTGAGTTATGAGAATAAATAATTAAATTTTTATTAAATATAAAAATTGAGTTTATTTTTATATGTTAATTAAGTTTAATTGAATAAGTGTGAGTAGTTTAATTTTTATTTCAAGTCAAATTCAAACTAAAAAAAATTTAACTGAGTTTAAGTCAAGTTTTGAATATCAAATTTTAAATAAAAACAAAATTTGAGTTTAAATTTAATACTACATCAACTCAATTCATACTTGATCAATTATATTCCTACCGCAATTTGTGTAAAAAAAAAAAGTGAAGCAATTAAACACATAATATTTGACAGAAAAAAAAAATCAAGCTCAATCTTTTCTCCTCTTCCTAGTTTAGTTTGGGTTTGGGCCATTAGGTTTTACCTTTTTTTTTTTTTAAGCTAACCTAAAGTCCTAATTCCTAAACGACTTGTTCACCGTGGGTTTTTTTTCTTATTAATCTTCTCCTCCAACTCGTTACAGATTACAGATTTCCCTCCTTAACTCGTATCTGTCGTTACTTGTTGTCGCGTCTCCACCATCCAAATTTTGGCCATCCTTCTTGATTCATTTTTCCATCGTCTCAACCTTTGTCATGTAAGTAGTTTCCTCTGCTTTCTGTTACCAACGTAGGTTTGTACCTTAGGCATGCATGCATGCATGCTTGTCATTTATAACGTTTTGAATTGGCAAACCTATTCATTAACGCATGATTACTATCTGCATGAATAATTATCGCCTGAGAGGCCCTTTATCAACAAAATTATCCATTTCCGCAACCACCTGGACTGAAATCAACAGCTGAAATAACTGCCTATTGAAACCGAAGGTGGGATTATTTCCCTTAAACTGACATATTCCGCTAATTTATCAATTGAAAAATGCAAAGGAGATTTTTTCTAGCAGTATGGAGAATAGACTTGTAGGAAAGAAGAAATTGTAATGTATAGTAGATTAGTGTTAGGAATATTGACTCAAATCTCATGAGAGATTTGTTTGAGATTTGTCAGATATTGCTTGATGGACAAAAAGACTTGCAAAAAAAAATTTCAAGAGAAAGAGAATTCTTAATAGGTAAGTTTGACTTGCAAGAGAAGAATTCTAAAAGGAAATGAATTCTTAATAGGCAAGTTTGACTTACAGGAGAAGAATTTTAAGAGGAGAGAGATTCTTAATGGGCAAGTTTGTATGGTTATAAATAGGTGAAATCTCTATAGGGTTAGGTATGAGAAAAAGATATAAGAGAATTGTAGGATTTTGTGGGAAAGATACTCCATAGGAGTATTGGGACTCTACGTCTTATGTATGTGTATATTAGTTTGTGAGTGAACTAGAGGAGACTGAGAGGGTCCGCATAGATATGGTGTATGGAAGCATTATAGATCTGTGTTTGGTTATGTTGAAAGGGTGCACAAGGGTTTGAGTTTGTATTTGTTTGGGTTGAAAATACTCCATAGGACTAGAGGAGATTGAGAGTGTCTTATGAGTATTGATTATTGAGTGAGGTTGATGATTTGATGTAAGTTTATAATTCTCTACAACTAGTGAATCTTTTTTTTTATCTGTGGATGTAGGTCAGTTAGACCGAATCAAGTTAAATTATTGTCTCTTATGTGTTTGATTTATTGTTTGATTTTATTTTCGTTGATATGATTAAATTGAAGACTTTTAACCCAACAAATAATATCAAAATTATGATATTCTTCAACAATTAAAACATCAACAATTTTTGTAATTTTTTGAATGTCCTCCCAGGATGAAGCTGATGATACATATAGGATATTCTAGACTTGATTTGGCATTTGACACTTATTTTTTGTCCGTTGATCTCTACCTCTCGAAAAGGTTTAAACTTTTAAGCTATTATTATTTTCCTGACATTTTCTGTTCACGTCACTGCTTGTCCCCAAGGTCAGCGACAATTTCGATTAGCAGTGAACATTGATAAAGCAGGAAGG